GAGCGAGTGTATGCTGTACGTCGCGTGTGCGTGAAGCCGGTCGAGTGGCACTGCGTGTCGCGTTATTTATAGAGCCGCGTAGCTGACAATTTAATCGTCCGCAGTCCGTGTGAATTGCGCCCGATCCGGCCACGGCCTCTTCCTCGCGCCTCTTCGCGCGTCTTAATAAGTCCGCTTCTGCGTCATTTTTCTTTCTCTCTTTTAACTCGTACGACGATTGCACGAATGTGGCAAAGAAATCTCGGTGGTGCGAGAAATTGGGTTCGAAACAGTTTGTAATACAAACTCTTATTCATTCAATGATGAATCTGTGTGATCTAGTGAATATTCCAATGAAAATTTCGACTGTTAGCTTGATTTTTTTTTTTCATTTTATTCGTCTGTGTGTGAAATTAAATTGATCGTCCTTGATTATTTTAATCAGGAAACTTCACTTTTTCCTTTTTTCCATTTTAAGGAAACATATCCTCAGTAATGTGAAAATTCTCTCACGTCCCATAATATTTTAAAAAATATTACACATTAAATTTAAATGTTACAAGATTATAAATTTATAAAATTAAATATTATATGTTAAAAATCTTCAATTGGTTTCGATCTTTTAATAAACCAACAGGGTGTCGTGTACAACATTCTGAAAATGATTGGGCCAGGTAACAAGTAAAGTTTTTACAAAACGAAATCCATCAGCCAGCGGACATTAGGCGCCACGTAAGCGCCATCGGTTCTAGGAAGACGAGCCATTGGAATCGGCAATTCCAGTGGAACGGACGTCGGCTGGAGGCAGATTTCTCGATCGACGCCCGCATGAAAATGGGTCGTAACGGCGTCGCGACAATCGGGGCGAACGAGAGAGCAAACGCGACCGGATGGCTAGCGGTAAACGGCGATAAATCAGTCGCGCGGGCCGCGCGGTTTAATTAATACTTGGGCAAAGGAGCGGCGACGGTGGCAGCAGTCGCGTGAAACGCGCGCCGCGCGAGACTCTCGCGTCGACCATGAAAGAGTTAATTCTTCGTTCGAGTCCGCGAAGAGAGAGAGAGAGAGAGAGAGAGAGAGAGGGAGAGAGAGAGAGAGAGAGAGATGATGATGATCTCGATCGTGACCGGAGCACGCGCGGGACCGTTGACCTTTTCCAGGGAACGCGACGACGACAACGACGACGACGACGACGACGACAACGATGACGATGACGACGACGATGCTATATACTGCCATAACATATTAAATCGTTCGAGAGTCGCCGTTGCCGGACTAGACTCGAGACTCGGCTCCGTGACTTGGGTCGAAATTCGCGTCATAGAAACGTACAACAGCCGTCCATATTTGCCGATCGTTACTGTCGTCGACGTGCAAAACCATTCGAAATTTTAAGCTTGTCAGACGAGTCGGAATTTCAGTTTCTACTCGCGGGAGAAGAATTATCAGTCGATTGCCCACGAGTAATGTCGTTTTTTGATACTGTGCAAAATTTTATTTCATTGAGGAGTTGATACAGTTTTAATCTAATATAATGTAATCGTTGTTCATCGTTGTTGTTGACAATCTTTTTCAAAATTTTTTAGATAATTTTGTAAAGAAAAGTGAGAGCAAACAAGTCTTCCAGATTTTATACCGTTCGTGAATTTTTTTAAACCATTGCCGACGATGTTCTGATACCCAAAACACCAGGATGAACAGTATTAATGACATTTGTGGCATCAGTGGCATCGTTGATGCTTTCTCGAAACTCGTAAAGCATCAAATAGTCTAACATTACAAATTTCCTCGCCCTGGTCTAATTGTACATTTAACTTTCAAGTTATAAATTTCAGACTTGATTCTATCAATTGACAACGGAAGTTGAAAATTCGTTCGTACAGACGAAATTTCCAAATTCAATTTGCACCTCATTTAAATTGATTTGCATGGAATTTTACTACAACAGAGAAGCATCCTTAACACTTCCATTTTGTTTTCTCGTTCATTTGCTCGAAACATTAGAAAGAAATTAATTATGAAGAAATATTTATAAAATCTTTTTTTTTTTTTTTTGTTACGAACATTATGAGTATTTATGCAATACCACAATAATAATTAATTTTTTCGCAGAAGTTCGAGAAGTTAATCTCCAAAAATTTCCATTCTCCGGTAATTTGTCGAATACCATCCGCGTCGTTCCCCATTGTCCTTTTCTCTTGTTTCATCCTCGTCTTCCGCTGCACCTTTGCAAGCTCCGCATTATCCTTCTTTACGCGATCGGGAGTATCAGGTGTCGCGGAAGGATAATGCCCAGGTAGTGCGACACGATCGTCAGGATCATTTTGGCTGTTATCATGTTGGCCGATACTCGCGCATAGGCCCGCAGCTCGTTCATGATTTTTCAATCGATTGCACTTCGAGTTTTTCGTCGAACCACACCGGTTGCCTGCTGTAGCTCCGGTTGTGTTGTATTGCTCGATCGCGAGAGGTTTACGGCGATCCATCGTAGTCGACTTAATAGGCGACCGCTACCGCGTGGCTCTAACCATACTGACGGGTGATACTTTCTCTTTATAAAATAATGGCGTTGCCGATCAACTAAAGATACACGTCGCTCGCTTCTGATAACGATCTCAGACCCGAGGGGATGGCGATCCTAACTCCAGAACTCCCTTTTCTCTCTCTCTCTCTCTCTCTCTCTCTCTCTCTCTCTCTCTCTCGTGCTCCACTACTAGCGTATAGATCGAGAGAAGTGAACAGAAGAGGGACGATAGTTATCAGTTCGAATCCTGAAAGCAGGTTTCTACCTCTGGAAACGATCGAGTTTCGCGGAACGGGCACACCGAGAGAGTCCCTGCGTTGGCTTCTCGATAGAGATGGGATCGAGTAACTCACGAGAGCAGGTACCGAGAACGTTGGTCGTTCGCTTTCCAATCCTTTATTATTCCCGGTCTACTATTTTACTATTTCCGGATATATTGGGAAAGGAACGAACAGAGACATATTTTGTTTCGTAAAAAGAAATTTCTCGGAGCGTTTCACGTTTCACTAAGATTATTTCGAATATGCGCCGCTGTTCAATCTGACGACTAACAACGAAGATAATGTCGAAAAACATTTGACAGTACAACAAAATAATTGTTGCTCTTTAATTCGAGTCGTTCTCCACTTTACAGAGTGTGAAAGAATATATTTACCTTATCAAAAGAGAGAGAGAGAGTGTTAACAGTTTCACGAAAACGTGTCTTCTCCTATCTCTGCCAGTTTTCATACTTTCCATCCAGTTTTAAAAAACAGAAAAAAAAAAAAAAAACGAAAAAAATGAAACAGAATGCTAAACACTCCGATGTTACATTATACTCCTGACTTTTATCTTCGCGATAACGGAAGCCCCCTTCGGTCTCTGATGGTTGGTTAAACTGAAGAAGCGTTAAAAGGCCTGCGCTGCGCGAAAAACCCGCGAGCAACCAGTCTTGTTTTCGCCTATCGACGTTTATCTTTTCACGCTTATCCGGCGTAAACAGTCTTCGAATAATTACGTTCTGATTTCTCCCTCGGCAATTAAACGCGCGCAACCACTCTCTCGCACACGCACGACGCGCCAAGTGTTTCCTGCGACCATCATCGTGGCCGATGCTACGTCTACGTTAAACCAGTTCCCAGTTTAATGGATTTAATTCGCGCTCGCACCTACTAAAGAGCCCCAGAGCCGCGAGAAACTCGTTCGTTCGTTGGACACCCTCGGAACGGATACGAATCGTGACATCCGCCTTTTGCTGCTGCTGCTGCTGCCTCCTTACGATTCTTCCTTAGAAACCAAACGATGGTCTCCTCTCTCTCTCTCTCTGTGTCGATCAGAGGGGGGCCCTTTTAAGCGCTGTTCAGAATGGGCCCACGATACTGGAGAAACCTTTCGAGTTTATCCGTTCGGCGAAACTGGATCGCGGCGAGCAACAAGAATCCACCGACGAAGGACTCGCGCCAAGTGATACCGATCATCTCTCCGGGCTGGTCCCTCTCTCTCTCTCTTTCTCTCTCTTTCTCGGGCCTCTTCTTGTCCCGACCCGCTCAAGGCGGCCTATCCTATCTGCCCGAGAACGGATGGGTTCAAGTTCAGAGAATAAAAGTGAACCAACGAAACGATGAGAAATTGTCGATATTTTCAATTGTTACAACTTGGTAAAGAAATCGCGCGAGAGTCCATTTGTTTTGTAGCGTGAAGTTTCTCTACTCTGAGTTGGTTCTTTTCAGATCTTTTTTTTTTTTTTGTTATGTATAGCGGGTGGGAGAATTGTTCAAATTCGAAGTTCAGATTCAAATGATCTTTGAGAACGTGGGAAATTTTTTTCTTCTCGCTACACAGATCCATCCAGAGTTTTAACCTCTTGCGCTGGAATGACGTGCCACGCACGTCGAGAATTTTTTGCCCCAAAATTGTAATATTTCCTCAGTTTTAAAAGTATATTCAAGTAAAACGAAATAGACAACGCAAATAATAAATTTATTACTTGTCAATCATTTCTATCCAGTGATATCATACCATACGACGAGTTCAAAAAGAAAGCAACGAATTATTGTATACGGTTTGGTCGCTCGTTGTGGTCCGCAATCAGTTGCCAGCGCAAGTGGTTAAGAGTGAAACTCTCCCTTTACAGCCCATCCCTGAAACTTTCACCATTTTATTGAACATTACTTGAATCTTGTTATTTTCGAATATTATTAATGATCTTATTGAACTTTGAATATTATTAATAATATTGTTATTTTTGAATATTACTAGAATTAATGCGATAAAAATTCTAAAGCATCAACGCCAAATGTTCAAAGTTCAGTGGGAGAAAGAAAATCACACAGTAAGTTTGACGATGGATGCTCGAGATCAGTTTATCACAATTTCTAATATTCAAACTGCGGATGTTTATGGAAATTTGTAGTCGAAAAGTTGATTTGCGTGTTTGTTAATAATAATACTATTAATAATGTTTGAGCCGACTTGCTCACCAGTTGTAATCTTTCTCTTTTCTCGATCTGTGAAACAGGTAAGGTAGATCCGACGCCACATACCTCGTCGTTCAACATGGGCTACCTCGTCTCGCCGTACCCGTACCCCAATGGCGCCGGAGGACCCATTCCTGTGTCTATGGTGAGTGTTTATCATTTTATTGTTCCCCGTGTCGTTCTACCTGTCCGAGAGAAAACAGCTCAAGGACAGAGCTGTCGGTCCGTACGAGATTTCGAAAGTCTTCTTCTGGACTTCCTCTGTACATTATCGAAAATTTACACGCCCGTGAATTTACGTAAACTCTCGTGGGTGACGATTGAAATTTGGTAAAAGTACGAAATATGTATGTATAAACGTACATCGAACACAGTGAAACTCCGTTTATATATGAGTTACTCGTGGAAATTATTTATTTGATCGAAGCTCGTTCGTTGATCTTCTTCGTTGATACTTTGGTCATGATTTTTCTCATTTAACGAACACAGAATAACATAACGCGAAACGAGTCAATAAACTACCAAGTAGAATTATGTTTAAATAAACATAATTGGTGTTGGTGGAAACGAAGTTTTATATTAGAAGTACAATGAAACCTCTGTATAACTACGGAAATACATTCCAAGATTCTTCGCTGCATAGTAAACGTTGTGTGTTTGTCATTTAAAATTTGATTTCTTGCATCAAATCTAATTGATTACTTTAAAAATAGCTTGAAATTGCGATGGAACAGCTTGATAGATGATTTTAATTGAACTGAGTAACACGTAGTTGATGTATAAATTATAGTTAACGTTCCTCGATGAGTTCTTTTAACATCGATGATTCTCAATGATGAAATTCGATTCAAGAGTTCTTCCAGCCGCGATTATTGTACAAACTTACTGTTTCGCTGTACAAAATCTGGCGCGAACAAACGACAAAAAATAAGATAATTGCAATTTCACGACAGTAATTCAGTTAAACCCCAACGATATAAATATCAATAATAAATAAATCTAAACGACTCGCATGGAAGTAATATAATTATTTTCGAATGATATTTAATAATACACTGTTCACAAAAATTAGAGGATATTTCAAAATGAATATGAAGCGATAGAAAAGAAGGAAGCGTTTGATTTTTTTTTATTTACTGAACAAGAACATCAGAAATGCAAACGGCATGTCAAAGAAAGTTGTTCTTTATTTTGTCGCTTCATATTCAGTTCGAAATATCCCCTAATTTTTGTGAGCTGTGTAATTTGAACCACTTGCGCTGGCAACTGATTGCGGACCATAACGAGTGACTAAACCGTATACTTCGTCGCTTTCCTTTTTGAACTCGCCGGTACGATATCACGGGATAGAAATTATTGAGAGGTAATAAATTTATCAATTGTTTCGCCTATTTTGTTTTACTCGGATGTACTTAAAACTGAGAATAATATTACAATTTTTGAGACAAAAGATTCTCGACGTGCGTGGCATGTCATTCCAGCGCAAGAGGTTCAATAATCGACGAAACGAAGAAGCAACAGATCTCGCCTGTATCGAATTTAAATCATTCGGCCATTTTCGTAGATCGGGGCAGGCACGCGCGTTATCTTCGAGTCTATTAAACGTTCAGTCGCGAGGAACTCGAACCGGGCGGTCGCTGGTTCGGGGAGTCGAAGTTCGAGGCGTTCTCCGAGCGAGGAAGGGATATTCCCCTTTGAGAATCGTGATTCTCGTATTGATTTATGGCGGCCACAAATTGGATTCACGATTTATTTACGAGCGAACGTTCGCGCGTTCGGCTCCGGTCCACGGATGATAAACTGCCACCTGGAAACAACGGCGACTCGGGCGAATTGTTCCTCCTTCCGCGATGCACAAGGAACGATTAATCGCGGGACGAAGACTTTCTTTTTTTCTCTCCGCTCGCGTTATCTCCGAGAGCGAGCCGCGAAGACACGTCTAATTGCAAAAGGGAAAGTAAAATGGTATCGCGGCGGTGTCAGCGCGGCGCGCAATTAGCTGCATTAGCGATTACGCGAGTGGAATTCACGTTCGGCGTTAAAACCGCGCGCTGTTTCGCGTTTGCGTCAACTGTTGTGCTCTGTTCACCGTGGTTGCATCGGTGGCGTCGGGAGCCACTCGCTTGGAAAGATTTTTCTTCCGCGAGCGGGGTTCCCTGGAATTTTAACGAATATCGAATCGGTAGGCAACGCGCGGTTGTCGGGCATCGATTCTGATTTTTAATGCAACTTGGCCGAATTACGCTCGCATTGATAAACTTGTTTTATTTTCTTTTTCTCTCTTTTTTCTTTATTGTATCAGAAAGGAAGACTAAGAGTTGCTCAAAAATCTTAGGGCACTTGCAATTATATTTTTATCAAAGTGAAAACGAGTCGAAACAATCGTTGAAATGTAATGAACGAAGTGTAAATGAATTTTCTGTCGTACGTATCAACGAAAGAATATTTCGGAAATTTTACAAAAAAAAAAAATATTTGTATTTCCTTTTGAAGAATCCACCGGTTATCCGCTATTCTTGGCATTCGTACGATCAGTCTGTTTGAAAGTTTCCAAAATACCATTTATTCGAACTGATGTTTCATTTATGTTGGCACTAAACGATCGGAATCGTTCATCGTCTCGTCAAAGCAAAATTTTGTCGGATTGTAAGACGCAAGGATTGTTTCCATTCTCGCAAGTGAGAATTTCTTCGAGTATCGACGTCCAAACTTGTCAATGGACAAATAGCTCGGAAAAACTCACCATCTGTCGTCTTCTCACTTTCACTTCTCAAACAAGCAACAATTGCATCGACAAAAATCTCTCTTCAACAAATAAATTCAAATAAACCGAAACGACACGATAGAGAAAAAGACCAAGGCACGCTTAAAATTTAGAATCACGGTGTATATAGAGAAAAACAGAGAGAGGGAAATATGGGATCAACGATGGTGAACGCGACATGCTCTCTTTAACACCGAATCGGCCCAATTTTGCCCACTATTTAGCGACGCCATGCTTCACCGCAGTCAAATTAGCCGTCTGTCCAAGCACGCCGCTGCACTCGTGCACACACGCGTGTCGATGGTGTACACGCGCGTACACATGACGAAACGCGTAAGCCCGCGAATCTGTTCGGCGCAACAATGCTACTCGCTCGCGTGTACACGTGAATCTGCAAATTTCATTCATCTCAACGGGGTTGACGGGGGGAGGGCCAGAAGCTCTCTCTCTCTCTCTCTCTCTCTCTCTCGCGATTTTAGCCGGCTTTTTTAACTCGTGCACGAGCGTACGTCGACACCCGCACCTATATATACATGCCTATACCGTGTCTCGTTTCCTCTTTTTCCAATTTCACGCCGATTCTCGTTAAATCGCTATTGTCACGTACTTTCGATGTAAATCATTCGCGAAACAAGTCCTCTCGTGCACGACCGATTCCCATTTTTCTTTTTCTACGTCATCTAAGAACACCTTTGGAAGAGAAGAAAGAGAAAAAGGAACAAACTTTAGACAGTCGAAATAAAAGCTTCGCACCTTAACCACTTGCAACCGCTGGCAACTGGTTCGCGGACCATAACGAGTGACCGAGCCGTATACAATAATTCGTCGCTTTCTTTTTCTTTTGAACTCGTCGATACGACATCACTGCGACAGAAATTATCAAGAAGTAATAAACTTGTCATTCGTTTTGGGTTACATTTAAATGCACTTAAAACTGAGAAAGTGTTGCAATTTTGGAAAAAAGTTCTCGACGTGCGTGGCACGTCGTTCCAGCGTAAGAGGTTAAAATATATATTATATAGTATAGTATAGTAGTAATATATAGTATATATATATTATAATAGTAATATATAATAGTTTTATAGTAGTTTACAATTTTTCGTCGTTACGTGTTCAGTCACACTCTTCACTCACAAGTGAATCTTCTCTAATTCCAACGAGACAGTAGCGAAAAGAATAAAAAGGAATACTCACGAACATTTACAAAGAACGCCAAGACGTTTATCCATCCATCTCTGCATCTGAATCTTCATGTCGCACCTATGTTTCACGCAGTTTCGTTCGCGAGAGCAGCGACAGTAGCTGAGTTCCTGCTCCTCGTCAATTCTTCACGCTCGATGAAGCGCCGCCGCCGCGAGACGGACATTAATTTTCCGCGATTCGCCTCGTATCGATCATGCTTAACGTCCGAAGAAGGGTGACGAAATGACAGGGAGAGTGGGTGGGGGGTGGGTAATGATTCTTCTTCGTTTAGACCGGCACAGTTATTCTCTTTCTTTCCTCCTCTCGTCTCCTTTTTCGGAGAATTACGCTTGTTAATGCGTGACGTATGGATCTGCTAACGTGTGCCTCTTCTCTTCTCCCCCTTTTATTTACACCATGGCTGTAACGCGCAGGATGAGAGAGAGAGAGAGAGAGAGAGATAAGATAAGTTAATGAAATCTGGAAAACTACAAGTGTCAGACGTCGCCCAACTAGTCCCCAGTCATCGCCCGCAAGAGTACTTAGTACTTAAGTACTTAAGACCGTGTTGCTGATATCGTTCCGCGTTTCCAGCCGGGATTTACAGCGGCTCGCGAAACTATTCGTATAATTACGTCGTTCTTCGTGGAGAATCATCGTATTGATGAAATTTAAAATCGATTGCGCACATACACACGTACAGTGTGTGCATCTCTGTCGTCTGTGTCCATGATTATAATTGGATGGGATTCGAAACGAATCTGAAAAGATTCGTACTGCGTGACGATTGTATTGGTAAAATTCTGCAATCAATCTGAGAACGTGTGAACAGAGGTGATAATAATTATTTAATCGTATAACGATCACGTCGTGTAATTATTATATCAAATTAAACGTTAACGACACACAATTGTTAAAAGAGAAAAAGTACTTTTTTTTTTAACTTTTCGCATGTTGTCGCGGCATTTCTGGCGAGGCTCGAAAAAATCAAAAGTCCGCGTGATGCATATTCGCGAAAGGTGTCGACAAGTGTGCGAATAATTCGACGAGCCCCGAATAACAGGCAGACGTAGTTACGCGGAGAGACTAGTTCGTGCATCACGCTCGGGTGAAATGCACTTTCTGCGAATTTTCTAATGGAATCGCGGCGGTGGATCGTCTGCGGTGCGGCGCGGCGCGCGATGAAACCGTAAATAAAA